TATCAGTCACAGGATTGTGTGGTCCAGACTCGATTGCTTACAGACCGCCGTCATGTAGCTGAAATATATTTCTGAGTGCCCTCATGTGTGCTACATAAAACGTATTAAGCTAATGCTGGCTTGCCTGTACCTGCCGTAACACATTGTCGGAGACCCGTGAAGATTCCGGGGTAGAATAGGTCTTCAGCAACCCATACTTGCCGTAAAAGGCGACTATGCTTGTCGTAAAAGGCGACTAACGGGATCGGGTGGTCAGGCTCGCTGCCTTGGTTGATGCATGTCATCGATTCCATTTGCGTGGATCGATGCTCATGATGTCAATCACTGGATTGTCTGGTCCAGACTCGATTATTTTACAGACCGCCGTCATATAGCTGGAATATTGCTGAGAGCAGCGTTAAAGAACAAACAAACAAAACATTGTCGGAAATCGACACTACTGGCCACCTCCATACTGCTGTTGTATTTTAGTTTACGGGCTAACGACAGAACACCATTCGTCACCACTCGCCCCTTTCCGTAACCTGCAAGAAGACTCGTCCCCCTATCGATGCATGTTATGCGCGAAAATACGACAATCCAATCAGAAGGCGCGTATGATTTCAAGTTGTTCATCAAAGAATCCCTCAGAAATATTTTTTGATTTTACATATGTCTTGCATCTAAAAATATACCCAAGACACAGTTAAATGTGTTCAATCATTCTGTATAATTCCGCATGTCCAGATGTGCTTTATATTGCATCTGAAATATATATAATATATGGGGAGATATATGTGAACCATTACACAACGAGTTGACAATTATTTTAGCTTTGCCCGTTTGCGCTCAGACGGAACCCGGTCGCAAAAATGGCCATGTGAGGGGCACGAGTCGCTATTCGGCTTGTCCCGGAATAACACGAGTTGGTCACGAATGGACAGAACACCTCAACCTGCATAAATGTGAAAAAGGTCACACTGATTTTATCGTATTTGTCTGTCCTAGCAGTTTTATAATGACATGTCACGCTATTTCGGTTACCATGGTGACACAGCATCGGTATACAAACGGATCTCAATAACTGATAATGTTTGTGAACCAAACAAGTAAGGTGTGCGTTCTCCATGGCAACACGTGTTGTTCTTTTGACACTTTTCACGCATTTTAACACAAGGTGTCAATTCACACCCAACGCCAAGATTTGACTTAATGCCATTCAAGATATGTGCAAACCGAATTTGTTTTGAATACTGAGGAATGAGCACGAGCGTGATAAACACACTTTGTGAAAAACAGATTGAAAAATCGTTTTCCAGCATGACCCAGACAAGTGATAGACTTGCTCAATGACCCGTATAAATATACTCGCTAAATTTATGAGGTGTCGCCACAAAGAATATTATTTACAGCTTGACTTGTAATCCTGTGTGTACACAGTATGTGCGTTCTTCCCCTTGTTTTCAATAATCACTATAATACGGAAATACAGATATAGAATTTGAGGTTCTTTCTAAACGCCTTAGAGCAATGCGGTGTAGAATATAACACATGCACATCAGAACTGATCTACAGAATGGAAAAAAACATTATGCCGATCTTCAAATTAAAGAACAAATGTAAATGCCTGATATATTGATATATTGCGTGTTATCATATAATGTATATCGTATGTACAATAGCTTTAGTTGGGTTTAACGCCGCTTTTAACAGTATTCCATATCTATCGCGGCGTGTCAGCTTAATGTGGGAGGAAAGCCCGAAGTGATGCAGGTCTTAGACGTTTACCACTCCGGTGAAACCCACGAGCACGGGTATGGTGCTGACAAACCTAGAAACATAATCGGGGCGAACCGGAATTCGAACCCACAATCAGGGGTTTCTGGCGTGCCCAAGGGACGCAACTCTGCACAGCGAATCGCAGCGCCTTAGACGACTGGGCCTCCCGTGCCTCCTACAATAGCTTTAAACAGACGAGCCAAAGAAAGTACACCAGTCAGTTGATGGTAGCGACATTATAATCCAAACGAATAACTGTACTGGCTCTTAGTCAGCATTCAAAGAATACTTCCACCTGGTTTTATTTTTTTTAAATAACATTTGATTTTAAACTTTTAATATTGAAAAAAATTATAATCTTATCTTTGAAATTTAATGTTTGTTGGGGTTTTTTTTGCCACAAATTTAAAACATTGTAAACATGGTTCGGGATTATGGAACCAATTCATTTCTTACCCCAGTCTTCATGGAACCAGTTCATTTCTTACCCCAGTCGTCATGGAACCAATTCATTTCTTACCCCAGTCGTCATGGAACCAATTCATTTCTTACCCCAGTCGTCATGGCACCAATTCATTTCTTACCCCAGTCTTCGTGGAACCAATTCATTTCTTACCCCAGTCGTTATGGAACCAATTCATTTCTTACCCCAGTCGTCATGGAACCAATTCATTTCTTACCCCAGTCGTCATGGAACCAATTCATTTCTTACCCCAGTCGTCATGGAACCAATTCATTTCTTACCCCAGTCTTCATGGAACCAGTTCATTTCTTACCCCAGTCGTCATGGAACCAATTCATTTCTTACCCCAGTCGTCATGGAACCAATTCATTTCTTACCCAAGTCGTCATGCAACCAATTCATTTCTTACCCCAGTCGTCATGGAACCAATTCATTTCTTACCCCAGTCGTCATGGAACCAATTCATTTCTTACCGCAGTCGCCATGGAACCAATTCATTTCTTACCCCAGTCGTCATGGAACCAATTCATTTCTTACCCCAGTCGCCATGGAACCAGTTCATTTCTTACCCCAGTCGTCATGGCACCAATTCATTTCTTACCCCAGTCGTCATGGAACCAATTCATTTCTTACCCCAGTCGCCATGGAACCAGTTCATTTCTTACCCCAGTCGTCATGGCACCAATTCATTTCTTACCCCAGTCGTCATGTCACCAATTCATTTCTTACCCCAGTCGTCATGGAACCAATTCATTTCTTACCCCAGTCGTCATGGAACCAATTCATTTCTTACCCCAGTCGTCATCGAACCAATTCATTTCTTACCCCAGTCGTCATGGAACCAATTCATTTCCTACCCCAGTCGTCATGGAACCAATTCATTTCTTACCCCAGTCGTCATGGAACCAGTTCATTTCTTACCCCAGTCGTCATGGAACCAATTCATTTCTTACCCCAGTCGTCATGGAACCAGTTCATTTCTTACCCCAGTCGTCATGGAACCAATTCATTTCTTACCCCAGTCGTCATGGAACCAATTCATTTCTTACCCCAGTCGTCATGGAACCAATTCATTTCTTACCCGAGTTGTCATGGAACCAATTCATTTCTTACCCCAGTCGTCATGGAACCAATTCATTTCTTACCCCAGTCGTCATGGCACCAGTCCATTTCTTACCCCAGTCGTCATGGAACCAATTCATTTCTTACCCCAGTCTTCATGGAACCAGTTCATTTCTTACCCCAGTCGTCATGGAACCAATTTATTTTTACACAAGATTACTTAGCCACACATTACGTTTTACAAACTGTTGCAGGAATGAGTGAGGGTTAAATAGACACAATCAAAGTTAACAACAGTTCTTTCAATCGGCAATTACATAAAACTCGGTGTACTTTCTTTTGCCCCTCAGTTTAAAAATGCCGTTGTCAGAGTGACATTGAAATTGTTCATGTGCCAAAGTTGCTTCACAAATAACATAGCTGCGCTTCAGTTGATATTAATCACATGGCATCTTACACAATTTCATACCCATCGAATCTATATATACCCATGTTTTTCGGGGACTCCAGCACTTGATTTGAAGTGATATAGACACCGATAGTGTGAGTGTGATTGACAGGACGTGTAAACACACGGCTAGTGAGTCAGGTGACAGTCACCGCGAGACACACGTCAATCAAACACCCTGCAATCCACATGCTTGAAATGCATGTAACGCTAATCAGCCATGTGGCCTTGTGGTAGAACTTGACCTGGGCCCAGCTCCACAAAGCCATTTAAGTGCTACGTCTATGAAGTATGGGAGTTACGATCGCCTTGGTGCAACAATAGCTTTGTACAACAGGGCCCTGGTGGAAAGAACAGGCTCTAATTCAACCTCAATCTGAGTATTTGAGTATTTGTGTAAATATATTACGTACGCCTAAATGTGTGGCACTTTGTTCTAGTGCTTTACTTGAGTATTTCCTGGGGCTATGACTGCGTGATGAATATATTCGATCAATCAGAAGTACACTGGGTATATGACGTAATAGTCTTAAAGACTCAATTTACCATTTGATATTCTGGAGAGGGGGATCAGATATATATAATATATATTGTTTACATGAAAAATATGAGCCAGTAAATAAAACTTCGTGACCAACAATATGAAGCATACTATTTATTTTCAAGAATGACAATTTATTTATTTTTTAGACTTGATTACTTCCAGGCTACGATATTGCTGCCTGGAGGAGTGAACCACCAAAAATAACATTAATAAATAGAGTGTGTGAGTGAGTTGGGTTTAACGCTTCTTTTAACAGTATTCCAGTTATATCACGGCGTGCCAGCTAAATGTGGGAGGAAAACCCGAAGTGATGCAGGTCTCAAATGTTTACCACTTCGGTGAAACCCACGAGCACGGGTATGGTGCTGACAAACCTAGAAATATAATCGGGGCGAACCGGAATTCGAACCCACAATCATAGGTTTCTGGCGTGCCCAAGGGACGCAACTCTGCACAGCGAATCGCGGCGCCTTAGACGACTGGGCCAGCCGTGCCCCCACGGATTGGGTGACAAACCTTGAAACATAATCGGGGCGAACCGCGATTCGAACCCACATTTAAAGGTTTCTGGTGTGCCGGCGGACTGCAACTCTGCACAGCGGCAATTGCGGCACTTGACCACCCGTGCACACCACGAAATTGTTACTCATTCATTCTGTTTATCCATGAATATCATTAAATAAATAATCAACAAAATTTGACCTGTGATGCGTTTCCTGTTTCAGAAGGGTCTCGACAGCGCCTTCAAGGAGAACAAGGACGTCATTAGCCCCACCTTCCTCATCGGCATGGTCGGGGCCTTCGTCGGCTTCGTCACAGTCACCATCTCCTTCATCGTTGAGCTGCGGTGACAGACGGTCCACGCCCGCCATCGTGTTGTGTGGATGAGGACAGCTCTCGTGTTGCGACATGTATTGTGCAGGGATGTAAGCCTTAATCATGGACCGCAGACATAAAGCTTGACTGATGATAGAAGTCACGTCCGTCGTAATCAGATGTCTTTCCACGTCAAATTACCGGATGAATACAGCATGATTGTGCTTAAGAGAATACACCAGTTCTTTGCCATCCTCTACCGGAATCCCCATCCTCAGGAGAAATATACGGAGTGTCCAACTGGTTCATTTTCTTCAACATTGACCGTCGTCCAGATTGGTCCAAAAGAGACTTTTCAAATTTGGTGAAATTGGACAAAAGATCAAACGACATGATGGTCCGTTGAACATGACATTTGCCACTCGGCGACCGGCTGATGTTGACCATCCTTTACTTCTAAAAAACTCTTATGATGAAACTATCATAACCAGGGACCTATATATTCAGTGTGTGTGCGTTTGCGTGTGCGTGTGTGATGATTTTGTCACTGTATGCTTCAAAACACAACCTTTGCGTTATACCGATCGGACGGTGGGGTAGCCAATTCCTATTACAGCATTCGCTCGTCACGGGTTAGATTCCCCACGTGGGTATACATGTATTTTGTGAGGACCATTTCTGGTGTCCTCTGCCGTGAGGCCCTTGATATTTATTGAATGCTCCGTTAATGTTGGTTCCGCATCGCCTGGACGGTGTTAACACGTCCCAATGATTGACGAATGGCTTCAAGCTGGGCTGACATTGCTTGATATTGAAAGCTCAACATATGTCGACGTTGAAAAAGACAAGCCCTTGCTGTTATATTCTGATGATTAGCGATTGCATTGGGTGAGTGAGTGAGTGAGTTGGGTTTAACGCCGCTTTTAACAGTATTCCAGTTATATCACGGCGTGTCAGCTTAATGTGGGAGGAAAGCCCGAAGTGATGCAGGTCTCAGACGTTTACCACTTCGGTGAAACCCACGAGCACGGGTATGGTGCTGACAAACCTAGAAACATAATTGGGGCGAACCGGGATTCGAACCCACAATCATAGGTTTCTGGCGTGCCCAAGGGACGCAACTCTGCACAGCGAATCGCGGCGCCTTAGACGACTGGGCCACCCGTGCCCCCGCGATTGCATTGGTCTCGTGAATAGTTAATTCCCAACTCTGTCACTGAACAGAATTTATATTGACGCGGGAATATATACACACCCTATTGATTCCCTCGACCATCGATTTCAAAGACTTCTGACCCGTAAAGATCCGGCTAAGAATTGGTCTACATCATCTGTTTGTTTGTTTGTTGTTTAACGCCGCACTCAGCAATATTCCAGCTATATGACGGCGGTCTGTAAAATAATCGAGTCTGGACCAGACAATCCAGTGATTGATATCATGAGCATCAATCCACGCAATTGGGAGCGATTTCATGTATCAACCAAGTCAGCAAGCCTGACCACCCGATCCCGTAAGTCGCCTTTTACGACAAGCATAGTCGCCTTTTACGGCAAGTATGGGTTGCTGAAGACCTATTCTACCCCGGAATCTTCACGGGTCTGGTCTACATCAACCCTTGCTTGTCGTTAGAGGCGACTAAAGGCATTGGGTGGTCAGGTTCGCTGACTTGGTTGATTCATGTCACCGTTTCCCAATTGCTAGGATCGATGTTCATGATATCAATCACTGGATTGCATGGTCCCAACTCGATTATTTACAGACCGCCGTCATATAGCTGGAATATTGCTGAGTGAGGCGTTAAACAACAAACAAAGAATCAAAGAATTCCTAACAGCATAATATCGGGAATATCAACATTTCGGTGATAAACAGCATAAGGAGTTAATTATATATTTTGATGGCTGTAGAATAGTGTTTTGGAAACGGCATACGAAATTATCCTCGACCATATAGTGCGTTATATCTCCATTTCATTATGATAACGACCATGGACATATTCGCCCCCAAACTTCTTTTTCAGAAAATCAATAACTTTTCACAGGATGCCTTACTCACGAGAGTAGTATCCCCGGCCGCGTCATACAAAAAGACGTTAAAAGATGGTACTTGTTGTTACCCTGTCTGGCGCTCGGCATTAAGGGGCCAAAACAAGGACTGGTCGGCTCGGAGTCAGTATACTGTGTCTGAGTGGGGTATTCATGTTAAACTGCGGCATGGTATCTCAGTGAGCTAGCACTATAAATCGGCATTAGTCCGGACTAGTACAAGCTATTTTATTAAGCAGCCACACAAACACACACACGTACATGCACGTCGCTATATAAGTGCAATAATCTTGGACGCGACGTTAAACCCCATTTCACCTCACCTCACGAGAGTTGTCTGATTGTCGGCTATTTTTGGTAGTGTGTTTTCCGAATACGGTTACATACGGAGGTATGGCAGCGAATGGGTCCAGGGTATTTATTGTAATGGAATGGTGATACCCTACACCGGGAAATTTAGGAGATCATACGTAAAGTCATGTTCCCGAGGCAAGCGTGTCCACTATCCTATATCAAAGCCTAGCTTCTACCCTTCCACATCAAGCTTAACGCCGTTTTACAGTATTAAAGAAGTTGTTATCCCTAAAATTGTGTCTACCAAGCTTAAGGCCACATTTCTTGGCACGACCCTGACGCCACCTCGCGTAGATCACGAGTTGTGCCCCTTGTAATGAAAACGCGATATCCAATCAGATCGCTCTTCTTATCTCGTACAGCTTCACAAAGATGGCGGCTACCATAGGCGACAACCAAGTTTTTCAGACAACGAAAATATGAGCGATTTAATCCCTGGCACAAAAACATAGGCAATCGTTGGGGTGGGGTAGGAGGATGTAAAAGATGACAGATGACATATTCCAGCGGTAAACCACTTTCATACGAAGGTGTACCAGTCGTAGATGATGATTTTGTTAAACCTTCTCTGATTGGACTATCGATATGTGCGAGAGTCCAATCATATTTAGCACAGGAAGGTGGGCTTGATGTGGCAAGGGTGGAAACCAGATTTTGATAAAAAGGTTTGTGGAAGCAAGACTTTGATAAAACAAATAGCCTAGTGGACGCTCTTGACTCGGGAAGATGACGTAAAGTACGCCGACAGACACTTGCAGCATATATTATACGGCTCTTGGATATTGTTGCTACATATCCTGTCAATACAAAAGCGGGTATCACGGTGAAACAAACAATTGTATTTTCATACAAGCGTCCCCAGGTTAGGAATATTTATGATTTGTGACGTGTTCGTGTAATAGTGAGACAGTTTATATATCGACGATAACACTGGGAAACGTGTAAATCTAGTGTTGATATATATACAAATGGGATAACATGAGCAGATTTACACATTTTGTTAAAACACAATTCTAATGAACTTTACACATATTGACTTTCCAGGTGCTTTTCTTTTTCTTTCATAGTCTTTCAACTCTTGGTATACTTTCTTTTGGACATTCGTTTATAGTTTATGATAGGTATTATGCTTTTATGATCAGAGATACAGCTGCCATGATCTTAACGAAAATGTGATAGGCTTGTTAAAACAAAAAGAAATTCCCTCATAACCCAACCAACCCGCCCTTAATACTTTCTGTTTATGAGCACTGTTAAGAAACATTTTCGTCAACACGTCCTTTTTGCATACGCCCTGTAATTAATGCTTTGGGAAGCTAGCCTCTACCCTAATACCTCTAGCCATCCTTCCATATTTGAAACCGCAGGGAGCGTGGCCACAAGAGAGCTCTTCGTGCAAAATAATCAAAATATAACCCTTCCTCCCCAGTCCCCCACGATTCACGAAGACGGTTATATATTTCAGTGAGTTAGTGAGTGAGTTGGGTTTAACGCCGCTTTTAACAGCATTACAGTTAAATCACGGCGTGTCAGCTTAATGTGGGAGGAAAGCCCGAAGTGATACAGGTCTCAGACGTTTCCCACTTCGGTGAAACCCACGAGCACGGGTATGGTGCTGTTGTTGTTGTTGTTGTTGGTTTGCTGTTTAACGACGCACTCAGCAATATTCCAGCTATATGACGGCGGTCTGTAAATAATCGAGTATGCTGACAAACCTACAACCCACGGTCATAGGTTTCTGGCGTGCCCAAGGGACGCAACTCTGCACAGCGAATCGCGGCGCCTTAGACGACTGGGCCGACATATATTTTAACAGGCCATATATAGGATACGAGGGTATAGTCCATCCTCTTCATTTATTCTAATCTGTCTCATGCTAACTTAATCAAGTACAGCACGTTTGATACAATACTCAGAGCTTGCATGACCTTGACTCCGTTTGGTTGGAGGTGTCTTAATGTCCACCCGGATGTGACGTGGTGTTTTCTTGTATTCTTAACCTGTATATGTGATATTTTATAATAAACACACCGAGAATGATATCCTGTGTTATGACATGGTTATACACCAGTTGTAATATGCACGGCGTTGTGAGGGTGTTATTTCTGACGAAGGAGTTGTTCAGTCGTAATTTTGATGACTCAAGAAAACAAAATATACTACACAAAAGAAGTTAAAGAGTGTCTGTTTAATTTCATTGACTATACTACAGTTAATATGTCATGACAGATTACATGTAGTCGTTTGAATGAATCTGGTGTTCTTTAACCTCTGTTTCAGTTTAAATATATTATATTCTCATGAAAAACTTAGAACGCCCTCTCCCATAGATTTACATGTATGCTTATTTACAGTCAATAAATTTAAAGACAGAAAGGAAAGAAAAGGAATAGAGAAACGTATGTACATTCACATTGCTCACTCAAACCTGTTTGTTTTCTTTATATATGTGTGTATATTCCTAAAAATGTTTTCGTTCACATGATTAGGTAAAATTGCATTGCCAACTAGCATCTCGTTGATAAAAGTGGAAAAAATCCTCGGCAAGCCTCGGAATTTTTCCACTTTTATCGACTCGTGTTGTCATATTTGATATCAAAAGACACTCGGATGAGATTCTCTCTATATAAAACATGTATACAGCAAATGGGCGGGTTAAAAAAACAGTTCTTTATATCCGGCAGTTCGTTATAAGCGTGTTCGTTATAAACGTAGTTTACTGTATATACTTATCACTGGCATTGAGAAGCGGACACGTTCGCTTTTGGAATGATGCAATGGCGTACTTGATGGGTTGACAGACATTTTTTTAGGAGGCACCGAACAATTCTGTTTGACCCACAACACATGTATTCAGGACGTTTAGATGACTCAGCAAACAGTTCTTGATAGTTTTCAACTTATGCGGTCTCACAAGGCGTTAGGATTACCCATAATCACCTTCGATATCACTGGTCTGCAAGAAAATGTGTGTGAGTTAGGTTTAACGCCGCTTTTAACAGTATTCCAGTTGTATCACGGCGTGTGTCAGCTTAATGTGGGAGGTGATGTAGGTCTCAGACGTGTACTACTTTGGTGAAACCCACGAGCACAGGTATAGTGTTGACAAACCTAGAAATAGTCGGGATTCGAATCGACAATCATGGGTTTGGGCGTGCCCAATGGACGCAGCTCTGCACAGCGAATTGCGGCGCCTTAGACGACTTGGCCACCCGTGCCCCGTCGGTCTGCAAGAGTGAGTGAATGAGTTTTTACGCCGCTTTTAGCAATATTCGAGCAATATCACGGCGGGGGACACCAGCAATGGGCTTCACACATTGTACCCATGTCGGGAATCGAACCTGGGTCTTCGCCGTGACGAGCGAATGCTTTAACCACTAGGCTACCCGACCGCCCCTAGTCTGCAAGAAACTAAGAGAGGTGAATTAGATCAACATACAAATGTAGATAGATTTTCACTTCATGTAAAGCACGTATTTTTGTTTGTTGTTAACGCCCGCCACGCTCAGCAATATACTAGCTTAATGACGGTCTGTAAGTACTGGAGTCTGGACCAGACAATCTCGTGATTGATTTTATCATCAGCGTCCACAACCGCCGGGGTAAAGATGCCACGCGATCAAACAACCCGCCGAGCCTGAGCCCAAGATATTAAAGCATTTGTGTCATACAAGTCAAGATTTTATTATTGGTGTTGTTTATTGGTGTTGTTTGAACCGTTCAAGTTATTCGACAGATGACGTGTTTCAACAATTAAAACAATCTGGTATATTTATGATACGCCAAACGGATTATGTATGGTTGTTGGAAGATTTTAATGGTGGAAGTGGGAATTTTGCGGATTTGTTTTGAAAAAAAATTAATTTATTCCAGGAAATAAGATACAAAATACTTTGGCTTCAGGTTTTAAAGCCAAAGATGTTCTTTAAAAAAGTCACAAACGTGTTTATTTCAATATTTTTCCATTGAAACAATATCAGGATTAAATAACTTCCGATGCTGTTTGAAAGAATAATTTGAGTGATGTGCTCACCTATGTTTGGTAATATACTTGTTCAGACAACTCTTGTAAGCTTTCGCGTGATGGGAGTATTACTAGTTATTAATTTTTTCTCTTTCTTAGCCTTGGTGGGACCGCCTCCGTGGTCTAGTGGTAGAGCGTCCGCCAGGAGAGCGGAAGGTCCGGGGTTCGATCCCCGACCGCGTCATACCAAAAGACGTTAAAAGATGGTACTTGTTGTTACCCTGTCTGGCGCTCGGCATTAAGGGTCTAAAACAAGGACTGGTCGGCTCGGAGTCAGTATACTGTGTCTGAGTGGGGTATTCATGTTTAATTGCGGCATGGTATCTCAGTGAGCTAGCACTATAAATCGGCATCGATCAGTCCGGACTAGTACAAGCAGCCACACAAACACACACACGTACATGCACGTCGCTATATAAGTGCAATAATCTTGGACGCGACGTTAAACCCCATTTCACCTCACCTCACCTTGGTGCAATATAAACCATGGTTTATTCGCTTGTATCCACTAAACGTGGTACGCGTCACATCAGTCAACACTGGAATCAGTCGTGTTGATCCCGTTATGACCTATACTGGTGAACTAGGTTAAAGGTGTTAAGACTTTAATGTCAATATGTCAATATTTCAACAGAACATCTGTGTTATTGCAGATATTTAATGTTAAAGATTACACAGTACGCTGGGCGGGTGATCGACTTACTTGAAGCTATACAAGTATGCTGGCCCAGTCGTCTAAGGCGCCGCGATTCGCTGTGCAGAGTTGCGTCCCTTGGGCACGCCAGAGACATATGATTGTGGGTTCGAATCCCGGTTCGCCCCGATTACATTTCTAGGTTTGTGAGCACCATACCCGTGCTCGTGGGTTTCACCGAAGTGGTAAACCTCTGAGACCTGCATCACTTCGGGCTTTCCTCCCACATTAAGCTGATACGCCGTGATACAACTTGAATACTGTTAAAAGCTGCGTTAAACCTCACTCACTCACCCAATCCGTACTCGTAAATGTTTAACCAAAGCGGTAAACGTCTGAGACCTGCATCACTTCGGGCTTTCCTCACACATTAAGCTGACACGCAGTGATATGACTGGAATAATGTTAAAAGCGGCGTTAAATCCAACTCACTCACTCACTATACAAGTGTGCATGGTTAAATTACAACACACTGGCATTCTACACATACATCTGAATGTACATATCGGTTATAAGTCGATTATTTGTAAATCGTTGATCATAGACGCTAGTAGGAACAAGTTTACTCAACTTCTATCTTTCCCAGCCGTTCCCTATACAGCCATCACGAAAGGATTAGCGTATTTTAATAAGTATTTACTTGTAATTTTAATCCATGTGGTAAACGTAAGCAGTGAAACGCACACGCTGGTCTAAGTTCATTAATATTACCAACGATATATAAATCAAATACTCCAATAATATATGTTTAGGAGCGCGAGGGTGCCGGACAGGTTTGATTTCACAACATGGTTTCAGGACATTCAGCAAAACCTGAATTATTCCACACCACGCACGCACACGCACGCACACATACACGCGCGCACGCACTCACGCACACACGCGCGCACGCAGTTTTTCACGCAGACACACGCGCACACACTCGCACTCACAGACACACACGCGCGCGCACACACACACACACGCACCCCGGAGAATCTGTTCTGAAATAAAATCTCTCCCGGGCGGATATATTTCGCGCCCCACTCAGTATAAAGTCTCCCCCCTGATTAATCGGTTTGTTTCAATGTCTTTAAGTACTATATTCTTTAAATATTTATTTTTAATGTAAGGAGGGTTACTTTAAAAAATAGATTATGAAATATGGTCATAATGAATTGATATTTCAGCATATTTTATTTGGAAACTGTACCTTCCATCCTAAAAAAATTATAAGACATAATCATACCAAACAAATTTGAATGAAATGACTGTAACAAATACAAATACATGTACGGTTACTGTTCTAACTGAATTCAGAAATCTCTTTAATCCTCGCAAACATTCGGTTTTAACGCTAACTACGTAAAAACTGTCAGCATAACCACGCGCGCCTCCAGCTCAGGCTGTCCGTTATTCTCTGATTTAAGATCTAAAATATATTCCTTAATACAGGCTACGATTTGAAAATGGTATCAGTGTAATATAAGTGGCTAGAATATCATGGTGCAACCAGGTTTCTGTTAAACATACAACATCATAACTATCTAATTCAGCACTGATTAAATCTACTTTGTCTTTAAGACTGCGTACGTTAAGATGTATGATCTTTAAATCTGGACTATGCAAAGGTCCTGGATTCGGATGGATATCACCGCAGCAGAAGAGAAAAAGTAAAACTAAGAATGATAATCGGAAATTATAAAAGCAAAGTAACCCAAAATATAGAGAAATGTGTATCATCTTCCCGAAATGATTAGCATGTAGAATAGATTAAAAAACACCCACCGCCAGCCTGTATTGAATAACATCAACCGGCATCGTCAAAGCAAAGTGTACATGTAATTGTTACAATCGGGCTGGCGGTGAATCTTAATGAAGAACACCTTGTTAAAAAGACACACCGAAACTGATTTGCATAACGGATGACCACACCATCTTGCAAAATATCAAAATAGTAAAAATGATACAGTATAGCCTCACACTGAAGAGAAAACAAGAACACAGAGAAGTAAAATAGCACGTCATATAGAAATGAGATAAAGTAATCTGAGAAGGGATTCATACGTTATATACAACTTTAAAAAATATTATTATGAAGAACAAAAGGAAAAGTGCCCCCCCCCCCCCCCTCCCCCCCCCCCCCCCCCCCCCCCACACACACACACACGCACACAACCCTCCTCCAACACCGAAAAGAAAAAAAACCCCGCAAAATCAATCAAAATCAAAATCAACAAATATATAAACACACACACACACACAAGTAACTAATTGTATATTTAGATAAATATATAACCCAGAAAAAATAAAGGAGAGAAAAAAAAAAAAAAAATTTACATAAACAAATCAACTTTAAAATCTAGAGGAATATGAAAAGCCAATGTGTAATGCTAAAGCACGAAGACACGATAAACGTTAACTGTACCAACATTACAATGTTCCCCGATATGCATGCTTTACCTGGGTTACATACCGGTGATCTAAGTTAGAAATATATGACTGATATATAATTTTTAAACAAGGTAATATCGAATAAGCTTGGATTATTTTTTTTTTCAAATGTGCTCCATTCAAGAATAGTTATATAGAATTATGTATTTACTCCCCCCCCCCCCCCCATGTATCTTGCTCTTTTATGTAAAAGCTTTTTACACCTTACACATTTTAATTACAGATTCCTTTGTTTTGATTTTAATGCAAACAAACCAGGCTTTACAATGCCCTCAACTATTGAACTGCATGGCAAGTATTTATAAAACGACCGTGGGAGGAAATATTCTGATGGGAGATTTTATTTCGTAGGGTGGGGGAGAGTTTATTGCGAGAGGTGCGGAACTGTACCGGTACCGAAAAAAAACCATTGGTTTATAAATAGAAAGATCAATCACAGATACCGAACAGAGATATCCATAAATTGATCAATTGTTTCCCTAACACCGTTTTAGAACGTTCAACATTTGCGGGGTCGGTCGGATAGCCTATAGTGGTTAAAGCGTTCGTTCGTCACTTCGAAGACCCGGGTTCGATTCCCGACATGGGTACAATGTGTGAAACCCATTTCTGGTGCCCCCGCCGTGATATTGCTGGAATATTCCCAAAAGTGGCGTAAAACCATACTCAATCACTCAACATTTGCGACACAAATGTTCGAGGATATGAAAAAGTCTCTGACAAGACTCGATCCTGAGACCGGATGCATCGCATGTCTTCAGTTCAATGTTCATGAACGTGAATGAATACTTTATTACCTCCCTTACAGTGTTCCGGGAGATGGCGCTTTGATATTATGGGGATTCCCCAACAACGCAAACGACAACACGGTGATGTGCAAGTCAGCTCTATGAACAGAAACCGAAACTGCATCCGAGAAGCGAAAGTGAAAATAGCATAATGAGTAAGACATTCACATCGCGTCCATCAGTTACCAACAGGCCCCGCGGGTCTACCAGAGGCACAGGGAACCAAGCTGCCACGAGGGGTGCGGCGCGAGGGGCATCCACGGGACGAGGAGCTGTCGGAAGTCGGTCAGTTCGAGGCAGAGTTAATCCGTCAACTAGAGGGGGGATGTACAATCAAGACATGGGGTCGCGAGGGGGACGAGGAGGGGCATACCCCCGTCGACGAGGAGGGACGCACCCCCCAAGACCAGGAGGAACGTACCCCCCAAGACCAGGCGAGGAGGACGAGGGAGGGACCGGTGATACGGACCAGAGAGGGGCCGGTACTACGGACCAGACAGTGTCTCAGTAAGCAGCGAATGTATAGAATTAAGTGTGCTTAGTTAATCTTAAATGGAACTTACCTGTGATTTTGCTGTAACAAATACACAAATGGCTTCAGGACATTTTCATCTTTTGAAAACTATTTCACATCCTTCTATATCATATCAAGTTAACACAATTCTTTCACACATGAATTATGCAGTGTCAACGCCCCCTACTCCCCCCCACCCCACCCCCACCCCTCTCACAGTCAATGATACCCCCATCTCCTATCCCCACACTGCATAGCTGGACTGTCCAGTGCCTGTCACCCTCTAGACCACATGGTCTAAATTATGCAGATGGTCAGTACAGATCATGGTTCAGTGAGTTGGGTTTGCTCTTTTTAAACGAGTGAGGAGAAGAAAGAATGGTAGCTATAGGATATATTCACAATGTAAATGAAACATATGAAAAGTTAAAATGTCTTTTAACAGTACAATCATATCATGTGTATGTTCTATTCTGCATTAAGTGTTTTGAATACCGTAATCGACGTAATAAGCGCCCCTCTCTAATGGGCAATTAAATTCTGGAAAAACATATCTGTTGTACATAAACATTTCACCTTTCAGCATAAACCACGAAATTTATCTTTCATCTTTCATCTTTAATTTAATTAGAGTCCCCTATTCTTAATTTTGAGAGCGCCCTGGGCGCTTATTACGTCCAAAACGGAATATTTTTTCATATAAATGGCATCTTTTTCATAAGGCCACAATTGTAACCTTTACTAAATACAGGGATAGAAGACGCTGGCATTCCAACAGTCACATATATGATGAACTTACTACTTCTAGCTTAAATATTCAAACTGCCTTGAACAATTTTCCGTTAACCTCCAGCCCACAAGATAGTTCTGAATGTGGAGCACTTGTTGATGCCTACTCAGATATATTACAAACCGTCAACAAATAATCAACAAAGCCTGCAAAAATAAATCAAATGTTCCAAAACACAAATGGCATGATGTTGAATGTAAAGAGGCAAAGACAGCGTTAGAAACTAACATTTTTGGTCCACTTGTCCTCATAATGATAACATATAGCAAGACTCTTAAAATGACAAATTTCTACTAGTCCTTATGATACCTTAACTATTGGGCACTTTGGCAAGGACTACAGGACTAGTGCCAATTTCTAATGCTGATAACATAATATGGAGGAAAACATAATATCATGAGTTCAATAAGTAAAACAATATATCAGTTAAAATTAGCTAGGTCTCTCTTTGCAAAAAAAAGATGACAAAAAGTTACTCAGAAGAAAACAATGTATACAAAATCAACTAAAACAACTGCAAACCAAAACAAAACAGGAACCAAAAAAATTCTGGAAACTATCAAGGTGAGGTGAAATTGGGGTTAACGTTGCGTCCAAATTTATTGCACTTATATAGCGACGTGCATGCACGTCTGTGTGTCTGTGGCTGCTTGTACTAGCGGACTGATGCCGATTTATAGTGCTAGCTCACTGAGATACCATGCCGCAGTTTAACATGAATACCCACTCAGACACAGCATACTGACTTTAATGCCGAGCGCCAGACAGGGTAACAACAAGTACCATCTTTTAAAGTATTTTGGTATGACGCGGCCGGGGATCGAACCCGGGACCTTCCGCTCTCCAGGCGGACGCTCTACCACTAGACCACGGAGGCGGTCCGGAAACTATCAAGTAAGATGGAGTTTATGTTATCTTCATCTAAACTTTTGTTTGTTTTTGATTGTTTTAAAAAATGAGAATTTCATAAGTTATTGGTTTATTAAGACTGTCACATATTTGCATAACTCCATGTCTGGAAGAATAGTGTAGAGGGTTCGGAGCAGATAATTTTTTTGTAGTGTCGTAATTATTCCTGAAGTGGTTTGTTATCTCCTCAGGATCAGCAAAAACAGATTCCTTCTAATAATTCTAATATCTTGTACATTGAGAGACCAGTTGGTTAAACTGTTTAATGATGTCTGAAATAGTGGTTAACCCCGGTTATCACCGCATCACATAAGAAGGGTGATAAGACTGACCCTAACAATCACAGGGGTATTGCACTAAGCAGCTACTTGGATAAACTTGGTAAAAAAATCAATTACAAGACTTCTGTCAGTCTGGATTCAGGAGGGGCAAACAAACATCAGATAATGTATTTGTTTTTAAAACATTAATAGATTCTACAAAAAGTAAGAATAAAAAAACTACACAGAAGACTTTCAAAAGGTTCAGTTGACAGATCACTACTTCTCATCAAGCTATTATCTAATAAAATATCAGAAAATGTATTAAAAGTAATATCACTGTAATATGATATCTCTTATAAATCCTTTAAATCCAACATCGGAGGAATACAAGGATGCTTTTCGTCTCACACATTATTTAATATATTCCTCAATGATCTTCCACATTATATCAAATCTGACAACATTTATCATTTGCTGATGACTTAGTACTATTTACTGATCCCCCCCCCCAAAAAAAAATATTACTTGATTGTCTAAGAGTATTTTGCGCAACAACAAAATTAAAGATTAAAAGCGACAAAACAAATGTTGTAGTGTTTGGCAAATCAAGTAAAACTGAAGAAGAGTCCTCTTGGACTGTGGGTGACACAAAATACTAGTTACGAATAGATATAATTACTTAGGAATTACATCGAAGTAAATGGTAAACTTAAACATAGTGTCGACCCTTCCGGCAAAAGGACCGCCTCCGTGGTCTAGTGGTAGAGCGTCCGCCCGGACAGCGGAAGGTCCAGGGTTCGGTCCCTGGCCGCGTCATACCAAAAGACGTTAAAAGATGGTACTTTTTGTTACCCTGTCTGGCGCTCGGCATTAAGGGGCTAAAACAAGAACTGGTCGGCTCTGAGTCAGTGTACTGTGTCTGAGTGGGGTATTCATGTTAAACTGCGGCATGGTATCTCAGTGAGCTAGCACTATAAATCGGCATCAGTCCGGACTAGTACAAGCAGCCACACACACACACACACACGTACATGCACATCGCTATATAAGTGCAATAATCTTGGACGCGACGTTAAATCCCATTTCACCTCACCTCCTGCAAAAGGGCCTAGGGGATACCATAATCTTCAGTCTACCAATATTAACCAAGATACCACTACACCACCCGCCTCCTACAATAAATGACCAGTCGCTTGCTTGACCTGTCCATTCTGCATATGAATAATAATTGTCTTGTGTGGTTAATTATTAATTGACAAATTATTTGTGATGATTTAACAATCATATTTTTTGGCTGTCAATTTACTATTTTTTATTTTATGGTAACAGTCAAGGAGCATATTCTGTAATCAGTCCAAACGAGAAGAAAAGGAAACAGATTTCTGAGCGTACGTATACATAACATTATTCATGTTTTTATTTTATTTGCCTTGCCTCTGAAAGCACATGGTTTCTCTAGGGGGGCATGGGTGGCCCAGTTGTCTAAGGCGCCGCGATTGGCTGTGCAGAGTTGCATCCCTTGGGCATGCCAGAAACCTGTGATTGTGGTTTCGAATCCCGGTTTGCCCCGATTATGTTTCTAGGTTTGTCAGCACCATACCCGTGCTCGTGGGTTTCACCGAAGTGGTAAACGTCTGAGACCTGCATCACTTCGGGCTTTCCTCCCACATTAAGCTGACACGCCATGATATAACTGGAATACTGTTAAAAGCGGCGTTAAACCCAACTCACTCACTCACTCACTCACTCACTCACTCACTCACTCACTCACTCACTCAACACTCACTCACTCACTCACTCACTCACTCACTCACTCACTCACTCACTCACTCACTCAACACTCACTCAACACTCACTCACTCACTCACTCACTCACTCGGTTTCTCCTGGTTCACAAACCAGAGTAACATCCCTTTGTGCATGCAAGATGCATGACATTTACAGGAGCACAAATATAATATCCTTATCTTTAACTAATAGCTTTCTCTTTCTAATGAAATTTATGGGAATAAAACAATAGAAATATTCTGTTGATGTTGTTCATGAGATTCAGTTAACGTGGTTATTTGGGTGGACGATATAGGAAGGTCATGATATGATACATACCGTATTCTACATAAAAAGCACCCCGCTCTAATAAGCGCCCACGGTGATATTTGCTAATATATTATCCCAATTGGCACCCCTTCCGATTGATCAAGTTACACAAGACTTATTTATTCGTGTTTAATATGCACTTGTGTGTTGTATGCACCCTTAATTATGGGCAGTTAAATTCTGGTAAATATATCTGTCGTGTATGATACGCACAGACTTTCTTTTGTATCATTTGAGGCTGTCAGCATAAACCACGAAGTTTATGATCTTTCATCTCTGTTTTTTCTCTCACCAAAATCATATTCTAATAAGAGCCCCCTATTTCTAATTTTGAGAGCACCCCCGACACTTATAATGTTGAATACGGTATTACGATACATAGGTCATGATACGATACGTATCGCAATACATATATTTCCAACAAATCGCGTGGAAACTTCTTCAATGTAAATATTTCAGATCAGTTTCAAAACGAAACCTTGCTATAGATACATGTTCGTAGCGGCTATTTTTAGAAGGGAACTTGAAACACTTATTACAACACATTTTGTTATATTAGCAAATATTAAACCATATTCGATAGCCTTCCGTGCAGGCGTTTCGAATCCCGCTGGCAACTACATAGATTTTTCGTGAAACTGTTCTATCGTCAAGGGATATGATAGGGGAAAATAGAAGTCCCCTCACTGCCAACAATGTTCAATTCACAATTCAGTCAGTTAATGCACGTTAAAAACAAAGTAGCCATGGTTTAAAAAAAAATAAGCGTGACGTAGCGCTTCTATTATGCAGACTCGATGACTTGGTTGATGCATGTCATCGATTCCAATTGCGTGGATCGATGCTCATGATATCAATCACTGGATTCTCTGGTCCAGACTCGATTATTTACAGACCGCCATCATATAGCTGGAATATTACCGAGTGCGGTGTAAAACAACAAACCAAACCAAAATGTAATATTTGTCTGCCAAACATGATGATGGTTATTAAACGAGTAGTGAGTAATTTATCTGAGCAAGTGTATCGTCTTGTATCGATACAGTTAACATTGTATCGTGTATCGTATCGTCACATGAAAACTCAGGTTGCACCGGTTCAACCCTACTGGTCATAATGAACTTCAAGGGTCTTTTTTTGTTTCGAATTCCTCAACTTTTCATCTAGGCCTTCGCGTTTTTCACTGATGATTGTAATTGACACTAATCGAAATTTACCCTCGGAATAGGTCTTCATCTTCAGAAACCCATGTTTGCTGTAATTAAGAGCCGACTCACGGGATCAGGTGGTCCGGCTCGCTGACTTGGTTGATGCTGTCATCGTATCCCAATTGCTTAGATCGATGCTCATGATGTCAATCACTGAATTTTCTGATCCAGACTTGATTATTTACATGCTGCTGTCATATAGCTGGAATATTGCTGACTGCGGTGTTAAACAACAAACAAACAAACAAACAAACAAAAGTCCCGGGGAAGCTGAGATTTACTAATCTGTGTTGTAGTGATGAGGGGATGAGACCATCAGGGTGACTGACACTGATTGAGCTTCACCAGTTAGTTGCTCATGTCAGAAATATTGATTTTAGGTTTCTTTTGGGAAAAATCAGTTTGCTGTAGCCATTAATTTGTCATACATAGTTCATTACTCGCATGGATTGGTGCAGTTGGGTGTTTTGAAATAGTTGTTTATTACGGTAGTTTATTAGGCCACATATTTTTTATTTTTTGTTTCATGGGCCTGCCGCCCCTACTGAAAAGCAGCCTGGAAATGAAATAAATTAAACATAAACATAATTATTTATATTAAGTCCCAATTTAGTAATATAGACCCTCAATAAAAATGTTTTACCGTATTCGACATAATAAGCACCCGCTCTAATAAGCGCCCCCACGATATTTGCTAATATATTGGCTAGTGAACAATCCAAATTAGCACCCCTTCCGATTGATCAATGTACACAAGACTAATTTATTTGTGTTTAATACCTGTTTTATATGCATCCTTAATTATTGGAAATTATATTCTGGAAAAATATATCTGTCGTATATAAATTCAAGAAGCCAGCTGCAGTTTAAACTCCATGGCAAAATACATAAACGATTGACATAGCTATTTATTTTTAACTTTTATTTCTATCAACGTTGTGAGGAACGACTGGAATAAATCCATGAAACATAAAATATAAAAAGTGAGGCCTTATAGTTATATCTGTGTTTGTTATAACATATTCTGTATGAATGTTCAGGTATTATAAACACTTCCTCATCTATCCCCCACCCCCACCCCCACCCATCACCCCACCCCCCCTCTAAACACCCTGGTGATAATAATGTCTCTCATTTCCAGAGGCCCGGCGTGAAACAGAAGCCTATGAGAGACACAAGGCTGAGAACAAGCCAGGCCACGTCTCATATCATGGAACAGTAGGTGAGACGTTAGGGACGTAAACATCTCATCAATACACATCAGAAGCCAGTTATTTCAATCTACCGATTCAAGAAATATGCACTGAACTGATTTATAAACAAACATATCTGTCTTAAACATTATTAAATATGTTGGGAAACAAAATTATTTGTTTTACATGTTCTCAAAGATGAAGTTGAATAAAATATTTTGAGGCTCCAGTAACTCAAGTCTATTTCGGTACTTGTCCCAACTTTTCTTTGCCAATTTGTCCTGTTGTGTCATCAAATATATGATTTGTATGCTGTCGTTATGTCTGGATTTACTTCACAAATTATAAGGGCATGTTTAAAATATCTTACATTGGCTAGGTAGGAAAACGTACAACTTTATGGATAACAAGTTCTGGTTTATTGCACATAGCAACGTTTCCATGTAGATTCTTACCCCATTATCAAGCCGGAGTGACAACAACCAAGTGTGTGAGGTCGTAGTAGTATTAGTATGAAGTACAGTAAGAATAACAAATAGCACACAGGTAACAAAGCACACGGGTAATGAAGGACATGGTAATTAAGCACACGGGTAATGAAGGACATGGGTAATTAAGCACACAGGTAATGAAGGACATGGGTAACAAAGCACAAGGGTAATGAAGGACATGGGTAATTAAGCACATGGGTAATGAAGGACATGGATAATTAAGCACAGGGGTAATGAAGGACATGGGTAATTAAGCACACGGGTAATGAAGGACATGGGTAATGAAGGACATGGGTAATTTAGCACACGGGTAATGAAGGACATGGATAATTAAGCACACGGGTAATGAAGGACATGGGTAATTAAGCACACGGGTAATGAAGGACATGGTAATTAAGCACACAGGTAATGAAGGACATGGGTAATTAAGCACACGGGTAATGAAGGACATGGGTAATTAAGCACACGGGTAATGAAGGACATGGGTAATTAAGCACATTGGTAATGAAGGACATGGGTAATTAAGCACACGGGTAATGAAGGACATGGGTAATTAAGCACACGAGTAATGAAGGACATGGGTAATTAAGCACACAGGTAATGAAGGACATGGGTAATTAAGCACACAGGTAATGAAGGACATGGGTAATTAAGCACACAGGTAATGAAGGACATGGGTAATTAAGCACACAGGTAATGAAGGACATGAGTAATTAAGCACACAGGTAATGAAGGACATGGGTAATTAAGCACACGGGTAATGAAGGACATGGGTAATTAAGCACATTGGTAATGAAGGACATGGGTAATTAAGCACACGGGTAATGAAGGACATGGATAATGAAGCACACGGGTAATGAAGGACATGGATAATGAAGCACACGGGTAATGAAGGACATGGGTAATTAAGCACACAGGTAATGAAGGACATGGATAATGAAGCACACGGGTAATGAAGGACATGGGTAATTAAGCACACGGGTAATGAAGGACATGGGTAATTAAGCACACGGGTAATGAAGGACATGGATAATTAAGCACACGGGTAATTAAGCACACGGATAATTAAGCACAAGGGTAATGAAGGACACGGATAATTAAGCACACGGGTAATGAAGGACATGGATAATGAAGCACACAGGTAATGAAGGACATGGATAATGAAGCACACGGGTAATGAAGGACATGGGTAATTAAGCACACAGGTAATGAAGGACATGGGTAATTAAGCACACAGGTAATTAAGCACATGGGTAATTAAGCACACAGTTAATGAAGGACATGGATAATTAAGCACACGGGTAATGAATGACATGGATAATGAAGCACACAGGTAATGAAGGACATGGATAATGAAGCACACGGGTAATGAAGGACATGGGTAAATAAGCACACGAGTAATGAAGGACATGGGTAATTAAGCACACGGGTAATGAAGGACATGGGTAATTAAGCACACGGGTAATGAAGGACATGGATAATGAAGCACACGGGTAATGAAGGACACGGATAATGAAGCACACGGGTAATGAAGGACATGGGTAATTAAGCACACGGGTAATGAAGGACATGGGTAATTAAGCACACGGGTAATGAAGGACACGGATAATTAAGCACACGGGTAATGAAGGACATGGATAATGAAGCACACGGGTAATGAAGGACATGGATAATGAAGCACACGAGTAATGAAGGACATGGGTAATTAAGCACACGGGTAATGAAGGACATGGGTAATTAAGCACACGGGTAATGAAGGACACGGATAATTAAGCACACAGGTAATGAAGGACATGGATAATGAAGCACACGGTTAATGAAGGACATGGATAATGAAGCACACGGGTAATGAAGGACATTGGTAATTAAGCACACGGGTAATGAAGGACATGGGTAATTAAGCACACAGGTAATTAAGCACATGGGTAATTAAGCACACAGTTAATGAAGGACATGGATAATTAAGCACACGGGTAATGAATGACATGGATAATTAAGCACACAGGTAATGAAGGACATGGATAATGAAGCACACGGGTAATGAAGGACATGGATAATTAAGCACACAGGTAATGAAGGACATGGGTAATTAAGCACACGGGTAATGAAGGACATGGGTAATTAAGCACACGGGTAATGAAGGACATGGGTAAATAAGCACATGGGTAATGAAGGACATGGGTAATTAAGCACACGGGTAATTAAGCACATAGGTAATGAAGCACACAGGTAATGAAGCCAGATGTACAGTAAGGATAAGGATTAAAAGGACTAAACAGTGACAAGCTGATTGAATCATAATTAAAATAGTCTTTTGCTTGATCAGATCATCTACATCGAATATACCAACATTGTTAGAAGTTGTTATCCAAAAGGCGTAAAAACATAAAAGAATTGGTACTCAGACAAGGACTTTTAAAAATATAGTACAGGCGGTGTTTTTTTAAAATTTTCTTAGCTTCTTCAAACCAGTATGTACCCAAATAAACAGTTGTGTACCATCAACCTGGGAAAGGGCCTCCCTACACAAACAACCATACAAACTGCTAATGATGCCGTGACCATAACACGAGATGCGCAGAAAAGCAGTGTAAAGGGGGTAACTACGTGCTAGATGGGATCGCATGAATTAGGTATTGGGATGTTTTTAATTTGGGGGAAAATGGAAATAAAACCGAAACATGTGGCAGACTTTATGATGACGCGGGCGGTGCATGAGAACCAAGACAATTATATTTTTTTAGCCTAAAGTTGTACGTTTTCTTACCTTATACTCACCAGCTTCTAGAATGCCACTCAAGCAGTTTCAGCTGGGTTCAGCTGTCATAATGTAGCCCCTGATTTAGGCTAACATCTAGTCTCTGAAATGACCATATCGAACAGAAAAAATCAGTTGTTCAGTTATCTTAATAAAAATATAATAAAAAGGAGCCCAGTAACTCTCTTCATTTTCAGATACTGCAGTGATCTAGACTTGCCAAACATTATAGACTTGCATGGGCTGTATTTGATATATATTTGTATCAGGGTCTGTATGACAGACTATCCCCGACTCTGCTTCAGGTGGAGGCGAGATGACCGAGACTGAAGCAAGGAGTAAAATGGCGATGACCAACGCAAGTGCCAAGTTCAACATGCTGGTCAGTTTCATTGATATCAATGCCATGTGGCAACAGTCACGCTGAATAGAACTTAGAAAAACACCCACTCAATAACCTATCTTTGTTTTTTAATGCAGCACTCATTGTTTATCATCGTACCACGATGACATACGACGTCATTCATACTATCAACCACTGGTTTGCCTGGCCCAGATTATGGCTGTTGTTATGATGTCTGGTTCATCATAAAATAAGACAAGGCATGTCATGAGCTAACCGGGGTAGAATAGGTCTTCAGCAACCCATGCTTGCCGTAAAAGGCAACTTTGCTTGTTGTAAAAGGTGACTTACGGGATTGGGTGGTCAGGCTCGCTGACTTGGTTGATGCATGTCATTGTATCTCAATTGCGTGGGTCGATGCTTATAATGTCAATCACTGGATTGTCTGGTTCAGACTCAATTATTTACAGACCGCCGTCATATAGCTGGAATATTGCTGAGTGCAGCGTTAAACATCAAACAAACAAACATGTCATGAGATGGAGTGACCTTGTGAACTGTCGTCACTGGTGGGTGAATACAAAGTCCAGAATGGGCTACACATAAAAACATGGATCGCTTACTGGAAGCGGATTTGTGATTATTGTTGTAACAGCTATTAAAGGCTATTGATGAATTACTGTAAAGCTGGAAATTAATGCGTCTCCAAATTTATACGACTGCTGACCCCTAACCAAAAATGGGACTCAGTATCAATGCCACTCCCCCCAACCCATCCCCAGGGGCATGATACACATCCTTACCTTAATCCAATCAAACACAAATAACACCACTTACTAGCGCTGAGTAGAGCACTTCCGTAACAACAATAAAAAGTGTTTTCCTAAAAACAACACACAGTTTATATGTCTACTCTGTTGACTGGCATTAAGGTAGTTCAAAGGCAATAAAATAATTGAACCAACAACAGTCCACTGATTGGTGTGCGGAGAAGGTGTCAACAAGCTTGACACAAGTGGTAGAACTCTTGACCCCAGCAGTGATAACTCACTGGATGCCCATTGTGTAATTCCTATTCTTTGAATGACATTGTTATATACTTGTTACAACTACTGCTCAATAAACTGTGTTTGTGTTTATATTCAAGTTGGTATTTCCGCTATCATGATCTGTTAAGCCATGCACTGATTGGTAAGATGAAAGGTTGTTCTGACGTGACCTGCAATCTGATTTTAATGAGATTGTGCGTGAGTTGTTCTATCAATTATTGCCCTCTACACATGACACAACTCTTGTTGCCAGGAGCGACAGAGGAAGAGGAAGGAGGAGGAGAAGAGACATCTGGAGGAGGAGTTCTCAAAGAAGAAGATGGACGCCAGGAGGAAGGTAAGTCAAACACCAAACATGTTATTTTTCATCCCAAGACAAAGTGTTTTTCTTGTAGGTTATGTTGCTGTGGCAAATTGCAAAATTGTAATTTTGTTCAAAATTGGGATTGTAAAGTTCCTATTTTTCTATTTTCAGAGGTACTCGACATTATATTTCATCATTGCCTTCAATGCAGTAATGTGACATTAGGCACAATTAAGCAATTGTTAGCCTGGCTCTCTGTATTAAGGGGAGTGAGTGAGTGAGGATGGTTTTATGCCGCTTTTAGCAATATTCCAGCAATATCACGGCAGGGGACACCAGAAATGGGCTTCACACATTGTACCCATGTCGGGAATCGAACCCGGGTCTTCGGCGTGACGAGCAAACGCTTTAACCACTAGGCTACCCGACCGCCCCGTATTAAGGGGATAAAACGCCAGTATAATGTGGCTGAGAGGCATACAAAATCAAACTGTGGCATGGTATTGCAGGGGGCAAACACTATGAAATCGGCGCAATTCCAGACAAGTACAAGCAGCCACACTCACACACAAACCCCCATGCACGTCACTAAACAGTGAAATAATCTTGAATGTGAGGCCCCTTTTAAAGTCACCGCACCCTATCTAAGGGAGATAACTCCATGGCAGATTGTATGGATGAACATCAAGAATGTATAGGGAAACTAGAGTTATTCTTCTCAATGGATCAAGGTGATGCATGCATTATTTCTCTGTGCCAGTAATATCATTATTATATCAAAAATGGTTGGGTGATCTGATAGCGACACATCTGAGATAGCTTTTTTATGATTTCAGACAGAGAACAATGAGAGGCGAGCACAGAGAGAAGATGAAAAGAAAAGAGAAGAAATGGAGACGTAGGGACATATAGTTTATTATTCTTTTTTAATTGTATTTCATATTGGAAAAGAAATAAATAGAGTTCATGCGTTATTGGTTTCAATACGCAAAATAAGTAAAAAATACTAAATTAATTTTTAGCTGCTTAAGTACTAATATCCTTGAAAGATTTTCAAAATTAAACAACACTTTTATTACACAATATAGTTAGGTGAGAAATAACTATATTGTTTTCTTAAGTTTGATTTTATTTTGATCACGTTGATCCTGATGTTTAGATCTTCAGTGAAGGGTAATTGTTTGACTGTAACAGCCTTATGGATATTATTTGTCTTCCTTCCAGGATTAAAAACAAATTTCTGGACAGATTCGAACAACCTGCTCCAAAAGGTAAGATGTTGAACACTTTTCCGTTTTAATGTACAAGTATTAAAGTACTTTAGGAAGTATTCTGCAAATACTATATAAGTATTATTCTATGACAACTACAAAAGCAGTATGAGTGAGTGAGTGAGTGAGTGAGTGAGTGAGCTCCGAAGTTCATACAATGTTTATGAAGGTTCATACTCCAATGAACTCACACAAAGTGAAGGTTAATTCTTAGATATATTTTAAATTTGAAGTTTATACAGCTTTTCCATTGGACGAGAGGCTGGTCAACTGACCGCAAAATTGACGTTCATAAGTATGTATGACCTTGTATGCCCCTCAGTCTATGAAGGTAAATTCTTAATGGATGTCGAGTATTCTATTCTATCCACGATGAAGCGGGGCTGGGGATAGAGGAACCAAGTTTGTCCATCTTTCCGTCTGTCTGTCCGCTTCTCAAAAGAATGGGACAAATGTTAAATGAGTTCAGAAATTATTGTCCTAAATTCATTTTTTACAGAGTTATAGCTCAAGCTTTTCAACTTAGTCCATAGTGTGTGCAATCGGAACAAGTTTTCTCCAAAACTACTGACATTGCATGAAGGAAACTTTGCAGGTTTATCTAAGAGACACTTTTCAAAACTGCGTTCGAAAATTGGTCCCGTGAATGATTTTTTTCCAGAGCTACTTCCCTTACTACTTGTTTTTAGATTTTGAGCATACACAGTTACTTCCCTTGCTACTTGTTTTTAGATTTTGAGCATACACAGTTACTTTCCTTGCTACTTTTTTTTAGATTTTGAGCATACAGTTACTTCCCTTGCTACTTGTTTTTAGATTTTGAGCATACACAGTTACTTCCCTTCCTACTTGTTTTTAGATTTTGAGCATACACAGTTACTGTCCTTTATCCATACTATTTACAAAGTCTTAATGTCTGCAACAGGAACAAGCTTTCTCATAAACTACTGTGCAGAGTTGCATCCCTTGGGCGTGCCTGGAACCTACGATTGTGGGTTTGAATCCGGGTTCACCCAGTTTGTTTCTCTGATTGTCAGCGCCCTGCCCATACTCGTGGGTTTCACCAAAGTGGTAAACGTCTAAGACCTGCATCACTTTAGGCTTTCCTCACAAGACCAGGATAACCATGGTCACACTACACAATACCCTGTTACTTGATACTGATGTGTTAGTTCATGTTTCAGATGTTCCCCCCAAGGCTTCAAATCCATCAAGTTCCTCCAATATCTCCATTCCATCCAGGTCAAGTGACCCTCAGCCTCGTTCTCACCCAGCCAATGAACGACGACAACTGGAACAAGATCATCCAATGAGAGATAGAAACACTGATCACATGACCCCCGAAATGAACTCTGATCTTGAGACTTTACATGCAATGTTTCCCCAGTTCCCTGTTTCGGCCATTAAGGAGATATACTCTCAGAGTGGGTCGCTAGAGGTCACAGCAGAATTACTGGCAGATAGATGAACTGAAGCAACATGAATAACCCATCTTCCCGAGGCAAGAGAGTTAACTGACTTTAAAAGTCCAGTTTCCAACCTTGCCGAACTAGGCTTGAATTACTGGGCTCGATCGTAGCGCCACCAGTGGCTATTACCAGTTATGTCCATTTTAAGCCTCTCCTATGGACCAATCAGATTCCACCTCTCGTATCACTTGCATTTGCTTCACTAAAATGGTGGCGTGCAGTCAGGACGATCCGATCGATAATCAAGATCTATATTGACATTATTGTGATAAAATGGGTCTTACATCGCGAAGTGCATGAAATCACGTGAGCACCTTGATTAAAAACATGAAAAGATTTGGAAAATATCTGCTGACAACGAGTTCGCGTTGCACATGCAAATCCTGCAATCGACCGAAATCTGCATGACAGTTTACGAACCGGGTTTCGATTTTGGTGCGCGATTTTGATTGGACTATGCATAGACTCGTTAGTCCAGCCAAAACGTAACTCTATAATACCAGCCTAGTTCGGCAAGGGTGGAAACTGGACTTTTATCGTCAGTTAACTCTCTTGCCTCGGGAAGATGTGAATCACCATGCTTCTTCCATGTAGCTCACCTGAATCAAGGATCATGTGACCTTATGTTGTGATATTGTCTTTAATGAGTCTCCATACTTTTCAACTTTGTGAATACGGTGAAAAATGGGGAGATGTTTTCTCAGAAACTACTTAAGTTTCATGAATGAAAGTTTGCATGCTTAACTAAGGGATATTGTCAAGGCTGAGTTTGGAAATTGGTGCTGTTAATTACTTTTTACATGTTATTTCACTTAGTGCATGGTGTCGTCAATGGGGACAAGTTTTTTCAGAAACTACTCAAGTCACATGAATGAAATTTTGCAAGCTTATCAAAGAGAATCTATACTTATCAAGACTGAGTTTAACAATCTGTGCCCTAAATTGCTTATTCCAGAGAAAGGACCTTTTGTGTGTATCAATTTTAATTTTTATGAGATTTTCTCATGACATGAAGCCTGCCCAGTGCCTATCTACATTCTAACTGTGTGTCATGACGGAGAAGAGAGAGCGGGTGGCCCAGTCGTCTAAGGTGCAGAGTTGCGTCCCTTGGGCACGCCAGAAACCTATGATTGTGGGTTCGAATCCCGGTTCACCCCGATTATGTTTCTAGGTTTGTCAGCACCATACCCATGCTTGTGGGTTTCACCGAAGTGGTAAACGTCTGAGACCCGCATCACTTCGGGCTTTCCTCCCACATTAAGCTGACACGCCGTGATATAATTGGAATACTGTTCAGAGCGGCGTTAAACCCGACTCACTCATGGCAGGGATGTGATAACACTGTTTTCTTATTGTATGTATTATGATGCATTATGTTATGTGGTATGGGGTATAACAAATCAAATTTTCATTATGAAATGCTGGGATTTTATCCGCAAATAAATGGTGCCCAAAAATTCTTGAAAAAAATTCTTATGTCTCTCATTGTGGGGAAAAAAATAAATTGTCTGCCACATTTTTAGAAAAAAGATATCTTGCCTCATAGTTTTATTTTAAAAATATCTGATTTTGCTGCTGCCTCCGATCTAAAACATAGTTAAAAGTAGTAAAATTTTGTGATTTTTTGGTGGCTAAAGACTTAACGTATTTCTTAAAAGAATTCCAGAAACTGTGAAATATCTTGCAACATTTAATGCAAAATGCAAAAAAAATCAGTGCACCTAAGACAGTCATTGATGTAGAACAACTACCAATGTAGATGTGCTGTTACTCTCTCAAACAATGATGCAATGACTTGATGAATAAACATTGATTGATTTAGTAGTTTTTTTTCCATCATTCTGCTAAATAGGAGAGTTCATTATGACATTATGCCATCACATTCCAGGCTGACTTCAAACCATTTCAGAGTGGCTTCCTGTCTGTCTCACAACTGCGAGAGTTCCTGTAGAAAGCTTATATTCCAGCAATATCACAGCGGGGGACACCTGAAAATTAGCTTAACACATTGTACCCATGTGGGGAATTAAACCCGGGTCTTTGGCGTGACGAGCAAACACTTTAACAACAAGGCTACCCAACCGCCCCTCCAACTGGAACGAATTTACAAGAGCTAGCGCTCCAAGATCGTGAGACCCGTGTAGATCCCGGGGTAGAATAGGTCTTCAGCAACCCATGCTTGCCATAAAAGGTGACTATGCTTGTCGTAAAAGGCGACTTACGGGATCGGGTGGTCAGGCTCGCTGACTTGGTTGATGCATGTCATCGAGCCCAATTGCGTGGATCAATGCTCATGATATTAATTACTGGATTGTCTGGTCCAGACTTGATTATTTACAGACCGCCGTCCTATAGCTGGAATATTGCTGAGTGCGGCGTAAAACAACCAACCAACCAACCAACAAGATCGTGAATCAATCGACTGTGTATTGTATTGATGAGAAAGATGTGTTTTGAATGTTATTGCTTTCAACACTTTGTCGGTTATATCAAGGCTTGTATGTCTGCTTGATGCAAAAAGAAATACAAAATGCCGTCCAGAATATCAAATGGTCAGTCCCTAATTCCACAAATAACAAATCCAGTAAATACAAAATGACTGTTTATTCAAAGACATCTCTGTACAAGGCAAACATGACAATGTTTTGATGATGACAAATGGTTTTGGCAGATGGAAAGGAATCCCAACTCGGCATGCATCGATACACATGACCGCAGCACGGACAGACTTAGTGTGTCATGGACAGTGGGAGTGAGCAACTGGTTTCTGTACACAATTCAGGGGAGATAATCAAAGTAACGTGAGTGAGTGAGTAAGTGAGTATGGTTTTACGCCGCTTTTAGCAATATTCCAGCAATATCACGGCAGGGGACACCAGAAACGGGCTTCACACATTGTACCCATGTCGGGAATCGAACCTGGGTCTTCGGCGTGTCGAGCGAACGCTTTAACCACTAGGCTACCCGACCGCCCCTATCAAGGTAACGGTTTGGGTGACCTTAATATTCACTAGTTAAGAATGACCACTGCCCTGCATATCTGAGAGAGTTGATATGATTTTATGCCACTTATAGCAATATTCCAGCAATATCACAAAAGGGGACACCAGAAATGGGCTTCACGCATTGTGCCATTGTCGGGAATCGAACACGGGTCTTCGGCGTGACGAGCGAACCTTTTACCACCCTCCTCCTCCACCATCCCCCACCATATGTACACAGTAATATATAACTGCCAATGGTAAAGCAATCTATCTACTAGAGCAAACAGAAACTAAAAATACTCTTGATTTCATACGGATTCAATGTCTTTCACAAATTAAAGGGGTCAAATGTGACTACACTTTCTTTTAACTTCAAATTCGTATACTATATTTTGGGCGAGTCACAACGGTGTAGTGTTCCTATGTATTTCATACCAAGCATTTACTTACACTTGAATTAAATGTTTTGTGCTATTTCCCGAAGGGTAATGTCAATATTCGTGTCATTAGCAACTCTTCTGTAGCGATAGTAAAACTACACAAAACCAATACAATACTTGTCATCTTTGTCTGGAGGATATGCTATGGAGTTACGATGGGTCATTAAGCTGCAAATGCTTTGGAGATTAGGACGATGGACTTAAAAAAGATTTATCACCCTCTTTAATGCTTCCTTGTAGTTGTGAGAAGTCATCCTATTTCCAGGACGTATCACGTACATCATCATCATCATCCACGTGGTCCTGTGCACAGCGCACAGATCACAAATCAGGTGAAGTTAAGCATCGTCGGTCTGGGAGAGTAGTTGGATGGGTGACCACGTTCAGCAGCTTGACTCCTGAGAGTTTCTAGGGCTCCGGTCCTGCCCCACACAGAAGCACATGTACTACATGTGGTGTCTCCTGAGGCAAGTGACTTTGTTTGAAATGTGCCTCTCTTCACCCAGCAGTGAGTGGGTACCCGGTAGGATGAGATGGTAATGTGGCTGTGAACCTTCTAGTGCCTCACAGGCAGCTTGGGTTGTATACTCCCCAGGGAGCTGAGAATGAAAATCGAGTTCTCACTGATCCATTGACCAGGGTAGTAATAGTGTAGCGCTGTGAGCATCCACTTGGTGAATTGAATCTGGTGCATCATAAATGCACTCCTTATTATTATTATTATCATTATTATTATCCCAAGGCACTCAGCAATATTCCAGCTAGATAACACCGGTCTGTTAATAACATACTTGAATTTGTACTTTACCATGAAAGTGTTATCCAAAATATAACACTTGTTACATTTCACCACTTTCTTAAAAGGCATTGTGCGTTCATTGCTTTCGGCCATGGGATCTGTTGCCAGTTTACACTTATTAGAGGGGTATACAAAGTATGTGATCTAGGCTGCCAGTTGTTGAACTTCCATTTTTGTAGAAGCCTCGGTTGCCAAGGGGACCCACAGACTGTAGCAGCTGCAAGCTCCAACTGAACTCGTCAGGACCTCATTAAAAAAACTGCAGCTTATTGTGACAAATAAATCAACACGTAAATAACTGCAGGCCATGAGAACCCATACAAAATGAAAATGGGCCCGACATGAGATCTACTTGACATGGGCCTACAGGCATCCGCCTAATTCGAACACAGTGTGGAGAGGGGAATGTCCAAAGTGATTCCGGTCACTTTGGTGAAGCACACAAGCATGGCTGTAGTGCTGAAATAGGCATTGTGCATTCATTGCTTTTGGCCATGGTATCTGTTGCCAATTTACACTTATCAGAGGGGTATACAAAGTATGTGATCTAGGCTGCCAGTTGTTGAACTTCCATTTTTGTGGAAGCCTCGGTTGCCATGGGGACCCACAGACAGTAGCAGCTGCAAGCTCCAACTAAAATTAAAATGGGCCCGACATGAGATCTACTTGCCACGGGCCTACAGGCATCCGCCTAATTCGAACACAGTGTGGAGAGGGGAATGTCCCAAGTGATTCCGGTTACTTTGGTGAAGCGCACAAGCATGGCTGTAGTGCTGAAATACTAAAAAACAATCAGTGCTAACCGGGATCATATGATCTACAGACAAAGCATAGTGACTTGTTCTATATACATTGTGTCAGGTGAGATCATATGATATCAATGTCAAAGTACTAAACTTTGGGAAGCAGTTGTCATAATGATTTTTGTTTGATTGTAATTGAATCGTAACCCTTAGGAAACTTCATAACAAATTTATCAAAAGAAACTGACTTTGTGAGGCAAT